AAAGCAGCAACAGTATTACGGTATGTTGTTTATACTGTATATTTCATAGTGTAATTCTTTGATGCAAGCTGAATTTTCAGCATCATTTCTTTAGTATTAGGAGTTAAATGAAGCTACTGCTGTTTTTGAAAGTCTTTTGATCAAGGTAGAGTTAATTTGATCAAATACAGTATAAGCAAAATTAACACTGTATGTTGTTTATACCTATATATCTCATACTGTAAATCATTGATGCAAAACTGAATTTCCAGTATCATGTTTTCACTATTAAAAGTCTAATGAATCTTCAGCTGTTTTTTTTAAGTCTGTTTTGATCATAAAGGTGGAAATAATTGATCAAATAGAGTAAAAGCAGCAACATTATTACTGTATTTTGTTTTTACATATCACATATTGTAATTCACTGACGCAAAGCTGAATTTCCAGCATCATTTCTTCAGTACTAAGAGTAAATAAATCTTCAGAATACACTGTAAAAAATAAATCCGTAAAATTTACGGTTAAATACTGACAGCTGTGGTTGCCAGTACTTTACCGTTAAAAACACGGTACAAACCGTAAAAGTAAGTTCTCATTTTTACGGTAAACTACCGTATTTTATTAATTTATAGAGGTAATATGTCTGTATTTTGAATGACCAACATCTACACATCTTTTGTTACACAGTTGGACACGTTAGCACACCCACATGCAGGTGGTGATGAAGTTACATAATGAGCCAATGCTCATCACAATCAACTTCTCCCACAAGCAGAGAAGAGTATCAGCATATAGAAGGTGCTCAGTATCATTCACACAGCTACTAAACACCAATATGGTAACACACATAAAAATAAAGTCATGAAATAAACATTGTTTATCAACATTAGATGTAACATAAATCTGTAATGTACATAACTGCTGGGGAAACAACTAAAAAGATCCATAATAATGTCAACAAAATGCATAAAAAGTGATGTGCCACGCAGGGAATCCTGGAAAAGTCAATTTACAGTTTTTCCCCCTATATATTAAGGAAACATACCGTTAACCAGGTTACGAATTTGTACTGTAGCATTTTTACAGTTTTTTACCGTTGAAATCACGGCCATTTTTTACAGTGTATGATGATTTGCTGCTTGAGACATTTCCTATTATTATCTATGCTGGAAACAGTTCTGCTGCTTGATATTTGTACTGTGAATACAGTGGTCCCTCTTTATTCGCAGGAGTTACGTTCTAAAAATAACCCGCAATACTAGGTGAAAAATAGGTGAAAATCCCAGCAGTCAGCTTTATTATTTACAATTATTATTGATGTTTTATCGTTGTAAAACCCCTCACTAAACACTCTATACACTTCTCTCAGACAGGCATTACCATTTTCAAGCAGCTCTTTCGTTTAAACACTCTCAAAGTTTAAACCTTCCTAGAAAATAAGTCCAGTAATCCAGAATGAAAGTGAAGATCATCATGATCTTCATTTATTCTGTAATGTCGCCCTACATCCGCGTAACTTCTACCTACAGTACCTTTAGCATGTCCAGAAGTTCAACTTTTTGTGCAGTGGTTAGCATCTTATTCTGCCTTTGGGGCCTTTGACGGTGCATAACGTTTTGTTAACGTTGTGGGGAGGAAAAAATACAAGTCAAATTGCACACAAAAAAGTCTGTGAAGCCATGAAAGGTGAACCGCGTCATAGCAGGGGACCACTGTATAGTTTTTCAAGGATTTTATGGCGAGTAGTACATTCGTTCATTTGTTTTTCTTCAGCTTAGTCTCTATTTCAGAGGTCGCCACAGCGGAATGAACCGCCAACTACTCCAGCTCATTTTTTGTGCTGCGGATGCTCTTCCAGCTGCAACCCAGTACTGGGAAACACCCATACACATTCATTCATACACACACTTAAACACTACAAACAATTTAGCTTACGTAATTCACCTATAGCACATGTATTTGGACAGTGGGGGAAATGGGAGCACCCAGAGGAAACCCACGTTAACACAGGGAGAACATGCAAACTCCATGCAGAAATGCCAACTGACTCAGCAGAGACTCAAAAAACAGTGTCTTTGCCAGCTTGTAGTACATTCAAAACAACAATATTTACTGTATTTGAAACCAAAATCTTTGGTGAAAATATAAGAAATGTCTTTGCTTTCATTTTTAATTTAATATATCAGTTTTATCTATTTAATATAGTCTCGTTCTGTCCACAAACTCGCGAATGTTAGTGTGTTTGCGAACTGTGACAGAGAGAGATGGTTTGTGTGATTGTATTTCTCCAGAGGTCGGTAGGTCAGTCGTCTCCATGGCAATGTTGTGTTGATCTGCATGTGTGTCTCCGTGTACTTGTCAAATATATTTGATCAGTCAGACTGCTCACACACACACACACACACATTCCCAGAGTCACCAGTAACAACACAAACACTCCAGCTCAGCTTATTAGAAAGAAAACACCGTTTCAAAAGTGCTAATTTCTGCCAAAATCCGTGTAATGCTGTTTATCAATTAATCACATAGAAATTAAGTTTACAAGATGATTTTGTGTGTACTGTTTGTATTTATTATGTAAATATGACTACATCATCTATATTTGCACATGTATATGGTGTTTTATTTATATACGTAAAAACTAATGATAAATAATAATATAATTGTACGTTTTTTGAAAGTATACATACATGTATGTATTTTTGTGCATTTGTATAGAAGTAATAAATCTACACAGTACACACACTTCATGTAAATACAAACTTTTATTTTGTAATCGCTGCTAACCATCAAACAGCAATATACTATTGAGTTTATCAAATTGTTTATCAGATTGAATAAAACTTGCAGGTTATAAAAAAATGTATGTTATTTTATTACTTTATTTTAGATTTTTATATTTATTACTTTTTGATTTTATTTGATTAAGGTAAACATAATTGTTTTCAGATTTTTTTGTTAGATTTTTGTGAATATTTGTTTTGCTTTTTTATTTTATTATTTAATTTTATTACTTTATTTTTATTACTTTTTAATTTAATTTATTTATGTAAACATGAAAAATTTGAAATGTTATTATCTTAATTTTTATTAAATTTGTTTTTTTTTATTTATTTTTAAATTTATTTTATTGAATTTTTTTATTTGATATTTTTTATTTAATAAATTTTTGTATTATTTTATTAATTTATTTTTATTAATTTTTTATTAAATTTTTTTCAGGTAAACATGATAATTTTCCATTTTTTGTTAGATTTTTTGTGAATATTTCTATCTTATTTTTATTTTATTTATTTTATTTTTATTATTTTTTCATTTAATTTATTGTATTTTTTATTTAGTTAAATTTAATTATTTTTTATTATTTTATTACTTTACTTTTTATTATTATTTTTTATTTGATTTATTCAGGTAAACATGATAATTTTCTATTTTTTGTTAGATTTTTTTGGGAATATTTGTATCTTTATTTATTTTATTTTTATTTATTTATATTTTATTTTTTAATTTAATTTAATTACATTTTATTTTATTTGAAAATTTTATTGAATTTTATGACTTTATTTTATGACTTTATTTTATTTTTTATTTTATTTTTTATTATTTTATTTTATTTTATTTCATCTTTTACACGTGGCCGGCAGGTCCTTCATGAACTCTTTCCTTGAGCGTCAAGGTAACCAAAAAAAGCTTTTTAATATCTCTGTGTTGTGCTCTATGTTAAAATGTTAAAGTCTTGGTGAAATATATTGTCAATAAAATTTTCCAGTAATTTTTTTTTTATTCAGATAAGTGTTGTAAGCTTAGAAAGATCACAGCTATATATACAATTAATAAATCAACCTTTTCTTTATCCGTCTTTGTGTCTGACTGATTTATTTTGGTCTGAGAATAAATTCAATATCATCAGCTTTCACAGAACATTATGTATGTATTAACCACTGATTTCTTTCTCTTCTCTTTAATTTCGCAGTATCATAATATGTCTCAACAGCACTGGCCAATGATTGTGGAATGAAACACAGTCTCTTGTCTACATGTATTATATTTAAAGACCCCATGAAATCAGATTTCAAGTATTTCAAATAAAAGTACAGCAAAAATGTCGTTCTCTTAAATCAAATTATATCACAAAAATATTTTACAAAAATTGAATATATTGTAAATATTTTTATGGGATCTTTATAGTTTGGTGTGTGTACAGTGAACATGTATTTGTGTCAGTATTTATTGTATATTAGTTATATTGTTTGCTCCTGTGGACGTTGTTGCTGCCAATGTTTTTACTATTCACATGTGTGTGAAAATACACACTTTAAAAAATGCTGAGTTATTTCAACCCAATTCTCGGTGTTACCAACTCAACGGCAGGGTTAAGTTTTAAATTTACATTAATGGGACCAAATTTAACCCAATGTTTGGGTTAGTTCATGTTTTAACCAGTTTGGGTTTAACCCTTGTGTGCTGTTGGGGATGTTTTCAGCCACTCTGGGCTGATTTTGAGTCTTAATTTGGTCTCTGTGTTTTAGCAAATGGGATAATTTTGGTGACAATTCTTATTTTGACACATATTTTGAGAAAATACTTTGAAATTTTTCAAGAAATCACCAATATACTCTAAAGGCCAAATTGACTACACTTTCATTGTGTTAGGGGCTGTTTTTGCCCCATTGACTTCCATTATAATCACATTTCTTGGGAACCCATTACCGCATATAATCATGCTTTTTTTAATTGTTGATGGTTTTCCCTGTTGTTCCCATTTTTTATTGTTGGTCATTTTCACGAACAGGCTTTGCAATCAAAAAATGTGATTATAATGGAAGTCAATGTGGCAAAAACAGCTCTGAACATGACGAAAGCATAGTCAATTTGAGCAATGCACAAAAGTTTAAATAACCCAGCATATATTAAAGTACAGAATGGCCTACATACAGTGGTTTTCATGATGAGATGAATCCCTAAATACATCTAACTCTTATTTTGTCGATTGTGTATCGCCTCCTGCATGTGTTTCTCAGGCTGACGCTGCCACCAGTTTCCTCCGCGCAGCTCGCTCAGGTAATCTGGAAAAGGCTCTAGACCACATCAAGAACGGCATCGACATCAACACAGCCAATCAGGTGAGACTCCTCCTAATTCTCAGCCAATCACGTCTGTGTGCTGTTTTAAAGAAGAAATGGAAGGTTGATTGACTGTTAACACTGCAGTCATGTGAAATTTTAATAAGTTGATGAGGTTTCAGGTACGTTTTTTTAAGTTAAATAAAGTTAAGCTTAGTCAGTTTTTGTAGAGATGACTAGAAAACTTAATTTGATTCAACTAAAAAAATTAAGGCAGCTTGATCACCTGATTTTTCACAATGTTGAAATAAATTCATGATTCAGATTAAGCTGTTCTTGAGTCAACGACTTACTGATTTAATGATCGAGTCAGATTAAAGAGTCTTTAAATGGCTCAGAATGAATCAATTTAATCATTCTTGAATCATGACAGTCCATTACTTCTGAACCAAATCTACACTAAAACAAATGCTAGTTTGTTTTAACCCAACCCATTGGATGAAATATTGCAAACCCAAAGTTGAGTTGAAAAATGTAATTTAAATTAAATTTTTATTTTTTTTTCACATTTACAAAAACATTCCAGGAGAACATTTCAGATTTAATTTAATTTAATTTAATTTAATTTAATTTAATTTAATTTAATTTAATTTAATTTAATTTTTAAAATTTTTTTTATTATTTAGGGTAAATTTAATAATTATTTTTGTTTTATTTTATTTATTTTATTTTATTATTTAGGGTGAATTTAATTTAATACATTTTTTGTTGTATTTGATTTCTTTTTATTTCTTTTTTATTTCTTTTTAGCATCAATTTAATTAATTTAATTTATTAAATTTTATATATTTTTATTTATTTATTTAATTTAATTAATTTATTATTTATTTTTATTTTATTTATTTCATTTTATTATTTTGTTTTATTTTTTATTTTAGTTCTTCCTTCATACTGGGAGGAATATTTTTAAATATCACCTGAAATACAATTTTACTATTATTTATTTATTTATTATTTGTTTATTATTAGTTTATTTCAGATTCCAATCAATACAAATGTTGTCATCATTTTAGTTTTTTTTTAACTCAATCCACTGGGTGAAATATGGGCAAACACAAAAGTTGGATTGAAAAAAATAATTAATAATTAATAATTGAATTGTAAACATTAAATCAACATTGGGTTTGTCCACATTTATGAAAATAATTTTTTTAGTGTTTATTTTTTGGTGAGTGAGTGATTTCTTTTGTTTTTTTTGTTTTTAACGAGTCATTCTTTGAAGCCCATTGTGTAGTATTCTCAAATGTGGAAATATTCAATTTTTCCTATTATAAAAAATCATTAGAGAGCTCAAATGACGTCTGAAACTGCATCGTGTTCACCTTAGTCTTAGCAGGCAGCTTGTTAGCGACCCCACAGTGGGTTTCCATGCCTGAATCCACTTTTAATTGCATTGTCAGACTGTATTGTGTG